TTTAAATATTCAATAAAAACATGACACATGACTCGTTATTATTGGATGTTGTTCACTTTTTTGGGTAAAACGAGAAGCAGAAATGATGATTTAGTTTTAAAAAAATAAGGACCAATATGAAAATCATGTTATAGTTCAAGAGCTCGTTTTTAATAAAGCCTTTTATTTTCTTTTATTTAAAAAAAATCCGTAATTTCAATCTGGGAGTGATTTACTTGATCTTTACTTAAAACCAATCAGGATGGCCGAATCAGTTTTAGTGGCTGGCAGAAAGATCATCATGCTTTTTAGAGATTACGTGAATCAAATATCCTTTTTAATTAATCTTTAACGATAATATCGCTCTCTTTGATTAATGAAATCACTTTATAAAGGATATTGGATGAATGAATGTTCAAATTCCATACATGGCATTTTAATCTAATTGACTCGTCTAATTATTTATTGTGTAAAGTAAATAAATTGTCCCTCGATTATAAGGTGTTGTTTTATTGAGTCTTTCAACTATTAAAAGTTAGAAAATGGTCCCTTACCTATAGGGCATTGCTTTTTTGAGTCTCCCGACTATTAAAAATTATAAAATGGTCACCTGACTATTCATATTTTATGAACTAATCCTTTTTTGTTAAAAGAATTGAAGGCAATTTGAGTTGAACGTTAATATACTGACTGTGATATAATAAAATATGATACAAAAATCTTAAACTACTATCATATCCCAATTAATATGTTAATGTCCAGCTCAGAATGTCATCAAAATTTTAACCAAAAAGAGAAGAGTTTGGGACATATGAATAGTCGAGTGACCATTTTGTTGTAATTTTTAATAATCGAGGAACTCAACAAAGCAATATCCTATAGTTGGAGGACTATTTTGTAATTTTTAATAGTTGAGGGACTCAAAAAAATAACACCCTACAATATAATAGGGGACATTTTTGTACTTTACCCTTATTTATTATTATCATCTAATTGTGTCTTAATATCATAATAGATATACATGTGGACACAATTATCTGAATATATGTAAGATAGGGAGCAGGATCATGTCTGAAGAAGGGGGGCCTAAAGATGTCTGAGCCCATTTAACTGTAGTAGATCAGGGCCACTGTCTCAGAAAATTTTCATAACCCATCTGGTTGGATAGAGCTGCACGTCTGTAATAGGCCACTAAAGTTACACATAATTTATTGCGTAATGTATAGAAATGGTTACTAATTATATGACCTTAATTTGTTGAGTCTTACTATTAAAAGTTATAAAATGATCTCTTAGGATAGGATATTATTTTGCTGAGTTCTCATATTATTAAAAGTTACAAAATAGTCACTCAATTATTTATATGTTCCAAATTCATCATTTTTCGTTAAAAAATAAACGACTGTCTGAGCTGGACGTTAACCTATTGATTGAGATATGATAAAATCATATTTTAATCATTTCTACTGGTATAATTGTTGCTTTCAATCACTTTCTCAATGGCATATTGTAAACGGAGAGTCGTTCCATAAAATACAGCTCAAACGATTCTATGATCATATTTTATCATATCATAGTCAACAGGTTAACGTCTAGCTCAGATGACCGCCAATTTGTTAACAGAAAATGACAAATTTTTAATGTATGAATAGCCAGGTGATCATTTTGTAACTTTTAATAGTCGGTGGACTCAGCAAAGCAACGCCCTATAGTCAGAGGACGATTTTGTAACTTTCAATAATCAAAAGACTCAACAAAGCAACACCCTATAGTCGAGAGACTATTTGTGTACTTTACTGTAATTTATATTGATGGTAACGTCTTTATTAAACATCACTTATCATAACAGTTTGACAAACTCACATGATTTATCAGAATCAAAATCTATTGTCAATTAATCATATTCATTAGGCATGTCTATCTATGGTAATCATCATAATCTTACTCTTGATACTTATACTAAAAGTCATTATAAAACTTCTAGATTAAAATTAAGAAAAAGAACTAGAAGATTAGAATCACATCGACCACTTCATCTTTCTCTTCCACATATCATATATCATTACAATCGATATTATAATATATGTTTTAATCTTTCTCTCCGTAGTCTTTCAACTCATTTTATTTCACTTGTTTGTAACACTTGCTCTTCTTATAAAAAGAATAATGTACGAGAGAGGTAATGGATCATGTTACAAAAGCTGTAATCATCGGTCGGGATAGACGCACGATTTCATGTTAAAAGGGATTAATTTATAAAATTTTAAGTATGAAAAAACTTATAAAATCTAAGTATGAAACATATTTTAGGAACAACCGTCCCCACCCGTCGCCCTCTAGGTCCATCCCTAACTATTGGAGTTTTACAAAGAGTTGTAAAGAGACAGGTTTCAGTTGGAAGCAAAGACCGAACAGTAGACGGCTAGGACAAAAGGGTCCGATGATGATGGATCACGTTCCATGGAGGGGGACCCTTTTTGTTCAACCATGAATGGTCTTCGATGCTTCGACGTGGCTTCACCAGCATCTGTCACTTCTTTTAGATACACTTTCTTGCAGCAGAAGAATTGATGGACCCTTATTTGTCCCTTTGAAACTTGGTCCTAAACAAGAGCCACCATTTAATGCAAGAGAAAGGTGCCCCAAACTTTTGTCTAGGTCAGTGTCCCTTCATATTAAGGGTATATATGGTGGTTCCTTCATCAGGGTTCTGTTTTGGCATTTTGACCTTGTTTTGGGACTATGTTGTCCTTTAGCCATTTCCATGGCTTTGTTTTGTACTCTGATTCGAATTTTAAACTTATTAAATATTATAGTTAGAATATGATTATATGAACTATTAAAATTAAACCTGAACAATTTGAGTTTATGACCCGAATTTCATTATAAACACTTATAATTATAAACACTTATAATTTTAATATTATAATGAATTTCACTTATTTTTTTTCAGAATTATTTTTAAGGTATTTTTAGACGTAAAGGTTAATATTTTTATGTTTTTACCTTATTTATTTTACTCGTGATAATTTTCTTGGTTATCGTAATTGTTTGAAGTCGAAATTTGAGTTTTTCAAACCCGTTTCGTTTATTTTTTTAGGATATATATAGAATTGACTAGAAAATAATAAAAAGAAAAATTCTGAACAAAGTATATAAAATAACAGGGGATGGATTTTATGTGTATGGGTATAGCACAACAAGAATATTAATGATTAAACAGCTTTTTAATGTGCATGGGTGAGGCTGAAATGGACCCTCATCAATAATAGGATTATTCAAACTCTTATTATTAAAAATATTATATTTGATATTATTATCTATATTAAATTTATTTAATGATTAGATTATCAATCTAAATTTGAAGTCTCACTCGAGATCTTATATACCTAGGATGAGATTAATATGTGTATCCAATCTTAAAAATATTTTTAAATTTATCACTGTGACCGTGTGTATGGTTTTGTCTGGAATGCTGGGGTTTGCAGTGTTGTTGAAGCTAAAAATTGGGTGGTTTACAATGGTTTGTCAACGGCGCGGTCCCCTGGTTTACAACGAGTCGAGCTCGAGTGTGCGAATTCTGCCATTGTTGGCATTATTAGGCACCATGCGTCGAATTGGAAACATTTCACGATTATCCAGGCTATTTGGAAGATGCTTGACCGGTATTGGGGGATTCGAGTGCAACATGTGATGCTTGACCGGTATTGGGAGGTTCGAGTGCAACATGTGTTCCGTGCAGGTAATCGGGTTGCCGATGCTCTGGCGGCCATTGGTAACTGTTTATTTTGCACCACCACAACCACATGATTAGGGAATATATATATATATATACATGGACTATCACGTGAATTTCTTCAAGTTTTGAACTAACAAAAAAGAGTCGAACATGAAAGGTAATTGAATATCACAATCTATCAAATTTTAAGTACATCTTAAATCAAATGGTGTAAACGGCAATGGTTTCCGAGACCCTTACACGACAGTCCCCGAATCAATGGAACCCCTATTAAACCGGCTGTTTCACTTGAGCAGGCAGTCCAGGATGATAATGGTTCACCCCATGTAATCAACCTGTCTTGAACATTTATAAAATGTACACAAGTTCTGTTCAATTTTTTCGAAGTTTATAAGTGCCCCCATAAGTAAACAGAACGCCTACCTTCGTTTTTTCTCGACAACCTGCTTTGTCTTGCAGTTCACAACTCTAACCTCAAAAGTATACTCATTGTATTGACAGTTGTTACCGGATTGTTCGAGCCTGCTGAGTATAATAATATGTGTGCTGTCAAATAAAATGGCCGAGCAGTCTACGTTCATCAGTCAACGATCTTTCGAGGAAAATAGCACAAAGGAAACAGCTGAGTTCTGGTTTTGTCATGATATTGTTTAGGGAACAAACTACCTCTGGTTAATTATACAAGCTCGGGAAGGCTTTTCATGATTGAGATGGATCACTCTCGGGTTCCTTCCCAGTTGATTCTTTAACATTGTAACTGTCGCCAGATAATGATTGATTAGCAATTTGGTCGGAGACGACGACTATGGCATGGCTCTGAACCACGGTTTCTTTTTGTTTAGCAGAACTATCTTCATTAGGAGTATCGACCGAAGCTAGATATGAAATGCCATACTTCTGCGCATGAGTTAGTCCTGGACAAAGGCCCTGTGTAAAAGAAGAAAATTTCTAAGAATGAGAAGAGTTCAACGGAAATAACTAAACTCATTTCGGAGACAGCAGAAGTCGAAATCCTTAAGTAGGCACTGAGAGGGCAAACATTAACCAATCTTTTAATAACAATTCACCATCCAATATTACCATCAATCCAGTAGAAAAACAAACAAAAAACAAAGTAGAGGAAACAATACTCATTACACTATACATAAATTTAATTCCGAATTATTTCAACACTAACCTTAATCAACCCTGATACAGGAGATGCCTCCAATGAAGAAGAGTCCAAAGGAAATGCAGTGCGAACCCAACCCTCGGAAACTCTACTACCATTAGGTTCTTGAGAATCAGCAAACTTGTCTGACGCACGAAACTCTTCTTTTAAGTAGCCACGGTTACAATAAGCCCCAAAATATGAACAATGCTCTTGTAATAAGGATATTTGAGGAGTCGCAGGCAACAAGTGGCCCTCGGTGCTAAATATGTACCTATAAATGGAATTTTTCCATTAAGAAAACGTAGCTTGTTTCATGGTATACAATTTTTTTTTTTAACAAAAAGGCCCAAGGAAACATAAATCTTACTTGTACGGTCCACTTTCAACAAGGTTGTCAGGACCCACAGCCAAGTCAAAAAGGAGCCACATATTTCACCTGACCATGTTCAGAGGTTACAAAAAAAAAATGTACTGGAATGGAAAAGACAATGTTGTGCTAATACCAAAAATTATCCAAGGGGGCAGCTGACGAAAAGGTCAAATTGGACTCAAGTTCAAGCCAATCAAAATTCTAACTTGTGACTAGGGAAACGCGGAATACAGATAATACGTTCAAATTGTCACCTACTGTTTCTGCGAGGAAAAAGCTTTCCATGTGATCCTCCCTCTCGTGATTCTCAACATCTGATATATGACAATAACCACAAGGGCACCTAGCCCCGTATTGCAAGCTAGCAATTATGTCTCGTCCAACATCCAGATATCTAAAGCAGAAAATGTTAAGAAAAGCACAAAAGTTCTATTAAGAAAAGCTGAACAGGTAAACTGGAAAACATCTAACAGCAGCAGGAATAGCTTTGTACTCTCGTCAGCAATGACAGTTAGTAAAATACCTTATGTAGCAAGTCTGTTTATTTCCTCGCATTCTTTTCGTGTAATATCTTAAATCATTGCTGCTAAATGTTATGATTATAGGCATCAGCTTTATTCTTTCATGTTTTCCTGTTTTGTGTATTATGTTAGAGCAATTTCTTCTAATAAAATTCATCTCTAGATACATGCACACTAAGGATCATATCAAGATTATATATAAACTAATATTTCGATAAATAAACGATTGATTGTACATTACCTAAACTTGAAGAACAGGAAACCACCAACAACAATAAATGAGCAGCATACTACAAGGAGAACCACAAGAATCTTACAAATGTTTGTAACAAAAGAATCACTCAATTCCGAAAAAATATGTTCTTAACTTCAAGTCGAGGCAGAATCAAGAAGGGAATAGAAGTTTTAGTTACGTGGCAACATTTTTCTCAAGTTGAATGTTGAACAAATACAGTAACCGTGACAAGTTCCATCGAAGATCCCGAATTTAGGCAAGGACACATCCAAGTTTAGAGGTTTTGGTTTGTTCAACGAATTAGATAAGCAGGCAAAACGTAAGCTTGTAGCCACTGGTGTCTGATGTAGATGTTGAAATAAGTCCTGGACTATCTTTGTTATTGAGTTGACAAAATATAGTCACATCAGTCTCGGTAAGAAAAACGATGACAGAGTTCCAGAGACCAGTTTATCATGGTGATCAACTGCAAGGATGACAATCAAGAAAAATAGGGCATAATGCCAGCTTTTCCGCATCGACCTTATGGCTCTACAATCCAAGGAAAGATTGAATAATCGTAAGAAGATAATGATTGGGAAACATAAAGATATCATGAATGCAGGTCCTCATAAGAAGTCGAAATAACATATTATAGCATCAAGAATGAACATCCATATGAACTCTTTTGGAATTCAAGATTTAGGACTCACCAGAGAACTATTATGCAGGTCCTTCCTAAGGAGTTCATTATTTGAATTATCTGAAACACACTTCAAGTTATCCGTTGCTCTTGGACGAGTAACTTTCCATTTTCCTGGAGAAGGAAAGCTATCATAGTAAGAAGAAGGTGTTGTAACATATTTTCCGAAGGAACTAAACATGAGCCAATCCTCATACTTATCAAACAAGTCAGGATTAACATGCACAACTAAAATCAACCTCAACAAGTAATGTCTTGTGAACTTATTCGATGTATCAATCCAAATTCACTTATTTATCCCCACTGGATATAAGTTTGAGAGAGAGTGACCTTCAAAAACAATGACACTTCCATGGTTAACATCAATGGATGGGAACTGAACATAGGTATTGATCCGACGAACTACTAATGCAAATGGCTAGGACTCACCTCGACCGTGTATAAAGTTATCAGCATTGTTAGACAATGAAAATTTTCCACCAAAAGTTCCATGTTGATTTCTGGAAAAGTATCATATTGTTTGAGCTTCTTATGCCTAGTGTTCTACAACAACAACAAAAATATCAAATGTATAATAGCTCAAATACAAGAAAAGGCAATCCTTCATAGCACATCCTCTATCTGGAACCGGAAACATACGATTATGTGATCGATCAAGCAAAAGGGCAAGGGAGAAAAAGGAAACATACGATTATGCATATTGTGCAAATGCCTTCGGACTTGATAAACTTGGTCCAGTACCACAATGAATAATCAAAACAGATAAGTTCATTTCATTCATGTTCAAACCCCAGGATTCCAATCACACCCAGATGCATAAACCCAAACATTTCATGTTCAAACAAAGAAAAAGATGACTTGAACATGAAAATGCACCTGACTGAAGAAGAAGAAGACGAGGGCTGAGTCATCCCGGAAATTCTAGGGGGCAGAAGCCAATAAAGTCTCAAAATCCCTAAACCCTAACATTAACCCGCCGTCGGTACCCTTTTCGATCACGACCATCGCCTCCGATGTAGTTCCTGTTATCATCCTAGTTATACGCCACCATAGTTGTCGTTGATTAGCTATTAGAATCGCATGAGATCGCGCTTTTCATCCTAGGATTCGCGGGGTATAAAACTTTGATCGGTCTCGATTTTATAGGGATTTTGGTCGTCGGGAGAAGTGAGGTCGGGCGGGACTTCATCGACGGCAAAGGGTGGCGATCGGTGTAGGTTTAAGGGTTAAAATAAAAGTTTTTAAAGTTTTGGGGTTATTTCGAAATTTATGTGTTTTTAGTTTAAAAAATATATAATTTTTTAAAATTTTATATAATTTTTTTAAAAATTATCCAATTGTGACACGTGTCACTTAACAAAAAAATTAACGTCGGTGACGGGTGTAACACCTAAAGTGGTAATGTTTGTAATATTAGCTCAAAATATATTGTAGATACCTATTTTTTTTGTATATTATTAACATAATTTTTTTTGTATAAGACGGACACAAATAAAATATCAGGGTGGATATAATTAATAAAATAAATTACTAAAAAAAAAATTTAGATTTCACGGTGGATAAGTGTCTATCCTTAATAAAGCCTGCATCCACTACTGAATATTATCCTAGTTACTGTCTATGTTTTCCGGCACAAGATACCTAACTTCAAAATGCTCATTAGGTTATTATAAACACCGTTGAATGAAAAATAAGATTGTAGAACTTATTGAATAGTCTAATAGTAAAAGAAGCGTTGTTGTTTATAGAGATTTTAGGTTTTGATTAAGCTAAAGGTAATTATAAATAATATATGTTTTAAATACTGTTAATTATTTGATAATAAATACTTAATTAATTTTGTAGTTGTTGATATTTAAATCTATAACTTTTAAAAATAATAACGATTTCTTTAACTAAGTTTATTCATATAAATTATCGTTGATATTAAAATGAATCAATGGTTTTTAAAATTGGATTAATCGTCAGATATATTTATAAACTTTTAATCAAATGGATATATATTACAGTGATACATATTGACGAATTATAACAAAGTGATAATTGACATGAAAATATATGGGTAAAGTACACAAATAATCTCCTGATTATAGGATTTTGTTTTATTGAATCCTCCAATTATTAAAAGTTACACTATAAGATGTTGCTCTGTTAAGTCTCCGATTATTAAAAGTTACAAAATGGTCACCCAACTATTCATATGTTTCAAACTCCTTTTTTGTTAAAAAATTTGATGGTAGTCTGAGTTTGACGTTAACATGCTGACTGAGATATGATAGTAAAATATGATCATAGAATCTCAAACAACTATCATATCTCATGCAATATGTTAATGTCCAACTCAGACGGTTGTTACTTTTTTTTACCGAAAATGATAAGTTTGGGACATATGAATAGTCAGGTGACCATTTTGTAATTTTTAATAGTCGAGTGACTCAGCAAAGCAACGTCCTATAATCGAGGAACCATTTGTGTACTTTACCCAAAATATATTAATATTTTATCTTAAATAAAAGGGTAAAGTATACAAATGGTCCCCGACTATAGGGTGATGCTTTGTTGAGTCTCTCGATTATTAAAAGTTACAAAATGGTCCTTCGACTATAGGATGTTGCTTTGTTGAGTCCCCCAAGCATTAAAAGTTACAAAATTATCACATGACTATTTAGTATATTCCAAACTCGTCATTTTCTATTAAAATATTGACGGCAATCTGAGCTGGATGTTAACATGATTACTGAGATATGATAAAATTTGATCCCATAATCTAAAAAAATAGAGAAAATCGCCTCAGTGACCAAAAATGCCTTATAATATACGATTTTAACCAACTTTTTCCGGATTTGCCAAAATGACCAACAAAATCGCAATGCGATCGCTAATTCGCAACGCGATCTCCATTATCGCAAATTCGCGTTGCATTTCGCGTTGCGATAGTTGGAAATCGCGTTGCGATGGTCTACAGTGTCGTTGCGATTTTCCCAATTCGCAATGCGAATAAGTAAATCGCAACGCGAATTGGGAAAATCGCAATGCGATACTGACTATCGCAATGCGATACTTACTATCGCAATGTGATAATACAAAATCGCAACGAGATACTGACTTTCGCAACGCGATTCTGACTTTCGCAACGCGATAATACATAATCGCAATGCGATTTTCAAAGCGCCATTAGTATCCTGGCCAAGTATTTTATTTTTAAATTCCAAACACGAATATTAATATATTGGAACACTGAACCGTCCACAGTATATCCTGTAATCGCAACTCATAACCTAAAACCTAAAATCACAACTCAGTCCCATCTCCATCTCTCACTCTCTCACCCATCTCCGACGAAATCCGTCCCCATCTCCGGCGAAATCCGTCTATCTCCATCTCTCAGAGCCACCCTCACAATCAGAAATGGAAAATCAACCAAATCAACCAACGAGGGTTAGTTTTTTTAATTATTTTCTTTTTGAAATTTTTGCATTATTATTAGGTTTTTCATATTGAAATTGATGATAAGTTTACTGGTAATTTCAATAATAGATTAACCATTTCACTTAGATTGCTTATTATTAACCGAGAATCGCAACGCGAAATGAAAATCGCAACGCAATTTTAGTTTCGCGTTGCGATTCTCTCGTTGCGATAGTCAAATTCGCGTTGCGATAGTCATTTTCGTGTTGCGATTTTCATTTTCAGAAACTATTCTTCTTCTGCAAATTGAAACTTGAATGAATTGCATTACTTCAATCAAAAAACAAAGACAAATAAGAAATTCACAGTGTTGCAAATTTAAGTTTGAAGAATAAACTACTACTCTTTATGTTTATTATTGTTTTTGGTTGTAGACACCTATTTTCGTCTGATTTTTATTTATATATACATATCTATATATTATATAGTTTACAAATGTTTTAAAATACATATAATATATATAATTTTGAGAATAGCTTTTTGAAAAGTATATATATATATATAATATATGTTTTTTTTTCGAAAACATTTTAAAATATATATAATATATAGTCTTTGAAAACATTTTGAAAATATATATATATATATATATATATATATATATATATATATATATATATATATATATATATATATATATATATATTTAAAAGCATTTTGAAAACGTATAATATATATAGTTTTGAAAAACATTTTTGAAAATTTATATGATATAGTTTTGAAAACATTTTGAAAACATTTATATATTATATAGTTTTAAAAAAAAATATTTTAAAAATATATAATATATAATTTTTTTAAAGCATTTTTTTTAAAATATATATATTATATAATTTAAAAAAACATTTTGGAAATTATATATTATATGTTTTTTAAAATATTTATATATATATATATTATTATTATTTATTATTATCATTTATTATTATTGTAATTTATTTATTATTATTATTTCTTATTTAATTATTTTGTTTTTGTTTTTCTGTTCAGGGTCCAGAACGAGGTCCAAGCAGATCAGGGTTTCTAGACTTAGTCACAGCGCCACACAATAGGGGACCGTTGGATCAACAAAGAGATCAACGGCCAACATAGCAAGGGAATCAGGGTTTGTTTAACCCACAAAGAGCTATCAGCCGCGGCCAATCTTGGACCGTTGGATCTGACCCAATCCAACGGTCAAGATCAAATCAAGGTTACCAGAAGCCTGAACGCCACCACACACCGGTCACCGAGATTTCCGGCCGAGGGGATCGGGACTGACCCATCCCGAAATCCCCGGCCAACCAACCACGATCCCGAGATCGTCGGGACTCCCAACGGCCGGCGTGGGTTATAAAAACCCACGGCCAACCAACAGAGGGGGGGGACCAATACCATCATCGAGAACCAAGATCCAAAACCACACAGTACCCAAAACACCATCAACACAACAACCATCAACCATATACAGTACCACACCGAGAGACCAACGACCATAAAAATAGAAGCATCATCGAGCCACAACCGAACAAAAAGACCATCAACAACAGACAAAAATCATCACAAAAATACAAGCCAAAGGCCGAAGCCTCTCAGTAAACAAACCAAAACAAGCACGTAGAGAAACCACAAAGCCAAAGGCCTCAAGAAACGAAGGGACACCGGCGAGAGGGGTAAAAAATCGAAACTTTACACCTAGATCCACGCTGGTAGGGATAAGTTTTGGTGTTTTAGGTCTCGGATTTGGGTGTACGGGGTTAAAGGGAGTACTTTTGCTAAGGTTTAGGTTTCCCGGCCGCCGCTAGCGGCGATTCAGGCGGCGGAAGGGCCACCGGACTGGTGACCGGTAATCGCCCAAGGGGGGGCTGGCCGAGAGTTTTCTCTCGGTTGAGAAAGATGAGAGCTGGAGTGAAATGGTGAGAATGAATGAGAAATATCTGTTTTTGGGTATTTATATACCAGGGACTACCGTGTAATTACAGGATAGTTAAATCCTTTCTGCGATCCCTGTAAGTTTGAGTCGTAATCCATTTCAGTCACCATATGCAATTCGGCCACAGGATTTTCAA